GGTGGCTGGACGGGAGGGTAGTTGTATTTTGAATGGAAACTCCATGACACAGCCGAAAAGGAGACCTGGATTTGACACGCACTCACTTGCCGCTTGCCAGCTGAAGGCTCCTCCTCTCTTGAGCTTCCACAGCACCAGGACCTCAAATCACATGGGCCAAAAGCAAACAGCTTGTGGGGGTTTTGAGGCCCTTTTCAGGTGGGCTTAAGGGGAAACCAATCGGAAACCCATCATTTTGGGGGTCTCGCTATGTGAAGTGAGGAAGGGGGGGCAGGCTAGATGGCACAACTCTCGGTGATGAATGTGGGTAAGTCGAGGGATGACTAAACCAACCTAGGGAGATTGCGCCGTCTACTTTAATCCACGTGTAGTGGTACTCCCCTCCAATTTACGTTCAAAAAGGGGTCCTTGTTGGCAAAGGAGATTCCTCGAAACATGATAGTCTTTTGGGTTCCATGCAAGTAGGCACACCAGGGTGAAAATAGATGGCGCAGTTCCCTTGATGAGGGTAGGTTAAGGAGAGGGAGAGTGCGCCATCTACTTTTCACCCAAGTGTAATGATGACCGTGTGCGTGCATACAGCCCAAAAGCACACCACGTGAGCCTGAGTGAACGCTGGGTCGTCAAGCCACTTCTTGGAGCACAACCACTTTTTAGGTGTCAATATTTTTTGGAAACGCAACGAGCCAGTCATGTGAAAACAGCCCACTCCTTTGCATAAAGGGACGCCCGAAAGAGTCAACTGGTTGTGGACCATGCTTTGTTTGTGCTTTCCCTTCAACAAAATTATGTGTAAACAAAGGATCCATGACCAGAAGTAATCCAAAGCCCGCGTTGGTCAAACGGCTGCACAAAAGCAATTCACTGTTCTCTGTGGGAGAAGAACAGTGAAAGTTAAGCCAACGATTGGCCAACGAAACAGTGGCAAGTAGGACACTTGTGGGATGTGCTCCAAATCCGATGCCCGCCAGAGAGTCTGGTCGGACCGGGGTGTGCCTTCTAAGTGCGCCCCTTGGTTGAAAATACAAAGAGCAAGCGTCTCGGAATACTCGTCTTGAAAATATTGCTGGAATGAGGGTAAGCCCCCGGTCCTTCAAGTGGCCCCAGTATTTTACCTCAATGTCACCCCAGAAGCGATAGGTTAAAGGACATCTTTCACTTGGTCCTTACGAAGAGTTTCGCCGAGGAGCGCTGCTTGACCACCATCTTGGCGCCTCTCCGCAGCAAGTCGTGGGTCTCACCGCTGAGCAGGTACGCCTCGCTTGGGTGTTCTAGCAATAAAGAAGTGAAGCCCATCCGCGGGACTCTCCTTACCCCTTTCGGGGCGGTTCATGGACCGGACGAAATGGCTTGCTCCCCCATGGAATGTGCGGCCCGGCCCCCCTGGTTTGGAGGAAGCTTGGGTGGGCCCGTCCTCCCAAACCAACGGCACACAATATCACTCAGTTGCTTACATGTTCATGACAGGGTTGCTGTCCGGGTATGGTAGCGAAAGATATGGGTCCTTAGTTCATCTTGCTCCAGTGAAGATTTAGCAAGTCCTCCCAGTTGAAATCGCGCTAGCCATGATAAAAGGTTTGTCAAAGCTCCACGGGATGCTAGAAAAATGCAAAACAGGGGACCCTGGTAGAGCGCCTTTTTAGTGAACTCGCAGTTACACACTCTTCGGCAAACCAAGCGTACAACTTGCTCAAGATATCGGAACCCAAAATCACAAACAAGTGCACTAATGTCAACCTAAGTTTAATAAATGGAGCGTACTAATAAAATTCTCAGCCACCGGACCCGCTTTTTCACCCAATACAAAAATTTCAGAAGGGGCTAATTCAAGAGTTACTTGCAAACATACAACACCGCCCCCCCAAGTCGACCCTATAAAGCACAACATTAATAAACCACACGAAACGCCGGGGCGAGCCAAACAAGCTTTTTTGTATCAGGGAGCGAGCCAGCCCCAAAATGATTCAAAAGTAAGCAGGTAGCGTGCAGAAGTTGATGGCACAGAGACAAATGCAACAAGTGTGCATACAACTGGAACCTTCAAAGGATCCCCAGCAGACATCAGATCTCCAAAAAACACTGCCTGGAAAGTGCGACTGTTAAATCAATTATCTTTACAAAAGTGATGTCCCTGGACTTCAACATGAGGTACCCCACACAAGCTCCCCAAACCCGGATTAGTAAAAGGGCTCACATTAATAAATACCCCAAAGCGACTCCTAGGAAGAACTAGGTATTGGCACTACTACAAGTACCACAAGTACTACTAGTACTTGAAGCAGTACTACGAGTACTCGTTGTACTAGAAGTAGTACTACAAGTACTAGATGCAGTACTACAAGTACTCTAGAAGTAGCACTACAAGTACTAAAAGTACTACAAGTACTACTACAAGTATTACAAGTACTAGAAGCAGTACTACTACAGCCACTACTACAAGTACCAGAAATACAGAAAGCGGTACAGGTTATACTACAAGTACTACTACAAGTACTGAAGC